ATTCACTGTCCAATTTCACATGCATATAAGGATACTGAAAACACCATACTTAGTACTTTAAGTCATCAAACTGACATCTTAGCTCTTGAACACTTTAAAGAGGTCTTGTAAAGCAGACTTGCCTAGTGCAATATGTCCTTAGATTTCTGTCTGCTGTTTCCATGACTGCTGATAGTGGATCTGAGCAAAATGAAGTTTTTGACAACCTCAGCCTTAGCTCCATTTTTCATGATATTATTTATTGATCCAGTGGTGAGGATTTTTATTTTCTTTACATTAAGATATAACCCATACTGAAGACTATGGTCTTTGATATTCATCAGTTAGTATTTTATTTCTTCTTCGCTTTGCAATTAGCTATTTAGTGATTATCTTACAGCAGCACACCAAGACTCCACTTATCTTACAGACCTGTCTTCTGTTTAACTAAAATTGAGCCATGGGGTGAGTTCAGTTCCAGGCATGAAGAATGGCGAAGAGCCACAGCTTCAGGGGTTCCACCAGTCTCTATGAAACCAGTAAGCCTCATCTTTTTTGAAAATTTGTTCCACATTTTTCTCTCACAGTATCCAGTATCTTCTAACATGATCCCTTTTAAAGTGGACAACACATCTAGTTCTTCTGGTCTCAGTGTCGTGGAGGTTGGGCTTTGCATGGTCCATTAGTTCTTTGGACTACCTTTGTCTTTGATTTTCTTCACTCTTCTTTGTTCCAGATGGGAAGAAACCAATAGTTGGACCTTAAATGGCTACACTGGTTGGGTATAAGTCATTTACTGGTCAAAGGTTGGGTTCAAGCTCCAGCTCCTTCAGCAAATTAGATTTTACCCTTTTCTGTTGTGTGTGTATGTGGCTTAGAGCTTGCTATTCCAGCTTAAGGAGTTTATGTTTAGCCAGGAACTAGTAGCACAGATTTACCCTCTCCCATTACTTCGGAGGACAAAATCTTGGGCATGCATATAGTCTTCTAGACTGCCAGTTTAGTCAGTGTTGGGAGCTGAGGTTGTGCTGACATCCCAAGTACTAGTGAGGGGTTTTGTTGATTATTCTGTGTGTCTTGGGAGAATATTTTCAAATTTGCCTAAGCACTGCTCTGATGAGGGAGTGTTTTCCAAATTGCTCATGTTATGATCTCATAAGGGGTAGCGTGGCTATGTTCAGAGTTCTTGTCCCCAGGGTTAACTCTGATACCTTGGGACTCTTCTTGCCTGACTTTTCCCGTTTCTACCTGTTAAACTTTGGGGTGTTTTAATGTATTGCTTGTTGCTAAAGACATCATAGGAACCATGAGAGTCCTCTTAATTGTTTTCATCACGATATCCACTATTTTTGACAATGTTCCTAAACTTGAGATTTTCAACTCTTGTTCCAAATAAAGTTAATCTTCTGAATAATGTCAACCCTCTCAGACAGAACTCAAGCACTGAACTTTTATAGTGCAGGGTTGGCTTTGGCAAAATCCCTTAGCTTATGTGTATCTTGGAATGTTTTGATTACACCGTCAGATTTGATTGATAGCTTTGCTGGATAAAGGATTCTTGGTTGGCAATTTTTGTCTTTCAGGGTTTTATAAATGTCTCCCCACTGCTTTCTTGCTTGCATGGTTTCTGCTGAGAGAGATGAGCTTAATCTGACTTGCTTGCCTTTGTATGTGACACTTCTGTTTTCCCTGGCTGCTTTCAGAAGTGTCTCCTTATCTTTGATTTTGAAGAGCTTGACTATGATATGTCTTGGTGATTTTCTTTTGGGGTCTATCCTTCCTGGGGTTCGTTGAGCTTCTTGAATGTTTATCTTTTCACTTTTCAGAATGTTAGAGAAATTTTCTTCCATCAGTTCTTCAACTATTTCCTCTGTGGACTTGTGGGATTCTTCTTGTTCTGGAATGCCGATAATTCTTAAGTTATTCCTCTTCATGTTGTCTAACTCTTAGACCATCTTCAGAATTTTTTTATCCTTTTTTGTGTTTGTTCTTCTCTTACTGGTATTCAGAGATTTGTCTTCCAGATCACTGGTTCTGCCTTCCATCTCATCTATTCTACTCCTCAGCCCTTTCAGAGTATTCTCTTTTTCTGATATTTTGTTATTGATTGTTTGGACCTCTTTCTGTAGGTTTTGAATTGTTTTCAATGCTGTTATCTATCTGATTTGATTGTTCCTGTTGCACTTTCCTGGCTTCTTCCTATGTTTCTCAACTCCATTGTAAAGTGTTTTGAAACATTTTATGATCATTTTTCTGAATTCCATCTCAGGCATTTCCAAGGCCTGCTCTCCTTCCAGAATGGAGTCCAGGTCTACTTCTAGGTCATTTGTCTCAGACACTTTA